TGAGACGGGAGAAGGAAGGTTCATCAAGCTCTTTTTTCCCCCTGAAACATCGCTGAAATTCGCGGTAGACCCATAGAAGATCTGATAAAGACTCAGGAAATGCTGAAAGGACAAGAATCTCAGCGCCTGAGAACGTACTGTACTACTCAGGCGATGATTCCCAATCGCGACCTTGATACCTACGGTATGCTACTTGCTGCCGCAGACTCCATCAGAGTACGTGAAGATTTCGACACGCGAGTGGATCGACATTTCAAAACCACTTCCACGTCATCCGAGAATCTCGAAGCATGTAAAGAGGCCGCTCGTGCTGCCGCGGCTGACGAACTCTATCAAATGCACTGGGGCCCTACCCGAGTTCCAATTTACAACCTTCTTGGCTTGTTTACGATGCTCTACCCTCCGGAACGGACTTCATATCTTAGCATCGCGAAGTATCTCATTAAAACGGCCCGAGTCCCGGTGGACGGAACAGATCTTTCTGGCACCCGTGCACTATCACATTGCTTCTCTACGAAACCCGGGTTTGACCTCGAGTATGCACAAATTCTCTACGATGCTGGCGGAGATGTTAACTCTCGTAACCGCTACGGGTCGACTGTCGCACAAGAGATTGTCCAGGTCTACAAGCCCGGCGACCGCAACGCTGTCAGCCGTGCCCACGCTGCATTGGATTGGTTTTTGCGGCACGGTGGCAATATTGATCTCGCCGACGAGGATGGGTTCACTGTTCGAATGACCATCACGACATTGCGGAAGATACCGGCTTTGAGAGAAATCACGAAGCTCGTGGATGCGGAGGATGCCAGACGGAGAGCACTAGGAGATGCGTGTTGTGCGACATGCGCACGGACGGGGGAGAGCACGACACTGGCACGCTGTGGGAAGTGCAAAAAAGTTCGGTACTGCCTGCCGGGGCTGCGTGCTTGCCAGGCTTTGGACTGGCAGAAGCACAAGAAGACCTGCAAGAAACCTTAGGCTATCCGGTACGTGCTATCCATTCCGACTACCTTCCGCTCACTAACCGAACGTTCATGTCGTTTAGACCAAGAGAAGTTCTCTCAAGTAGACCCTCTAGATGATTGTCGTTTGGCAACGTTATTGTAATTCCGTGAGTGTGAGATACGAGGACCGGGCATTTGGCTAACAGCTGGACGGTGATCAGGCACTTGTCTTACAACGAATAGATCTATTAAAGTCTCAATATGAACCGGCCCAAGGAATATCCGTGCACTAAGTATCTCACTCCGCACCCCTTCTACGGAAGCCCGGTGCAGGTAATCATTCATGACTATCTATATGCAGCATTCGACTCTTCGACCGCCACAAAACTTGGAGCTCAGATGTTTCTCTTCACAAGTAGAAGACTTACCGGCCAAAATCCAGGATTTGGGCCCACAATGTTGCTATCACCATCAGAACTTCGATAGTTTCTGCGCTCTTGCGAGAATTCGACATGTGACGTCGTTACCCAGAGCAAGCTTTAAACGTTCAAGTACTGTCCGGCACGCCGCATCGTCAAACGGCCTCCGTGACCCTGTTTCCATGAGAAGTATATCAATTACTTATCTTCGAGTGTGCAAACCTTGGGCTGACTGCAGGGCGTAGAACTAATCTTTGCCTCGTTTCGGTAGTTTTGCCGAAGGATGTCTCTCACTCCTGTGACATTTGATCCCCTCCACGACATCTATTGGCTTCGGACTTTGATTGACCCTAACATAGATGAATGAACGATATCGAGCCTGTGATTTGCAGGTTCACCACGTTTCAGTGTTCCGTCCTAATGATGTATAAAGTTTCTGTCGCCTCAGATTCAAATCGTCTTACCCTCCAACTTGAAACTGCGATGCCGGGAAATATACGCAGAGTACTCCTTATCCTAGACGCTCAGAAGGCCGCGCTCTCCCCTCCGCCCATGGGAATACCCTCCTCAAAAACAGTCAGCAGGAACATCACGCAGATACTAGAAACTGCGCGGTCCGCAAACCCGCCACCATTGATAATCCACATTCGCACTGCGGGGGACGTGGGAGAGCCCGACGAACCAAACACCCCAGGATGGGAGCTCGTCAACCCCCCGTTGCCGAACGAGCCAGTGATCGATAAGAAGAAGAATAACGCTTTTGCGGGAACGATTCTCGGGGATCTCATAGTTTCTGATGCGGAGATCGTTGTTATTGGATTGCAGTCGGATTTCTCTCTGAGAGCTAGTGAGGCGACCCGCGTTTCTTCTTACTTTAGAGATCCTGATTTTTATGTAGCATGCAGTGCTGCATTAGATCGGGGTAACGAGGTGTTGATGGTTCGGGGTGCCCATGGGACGTATGATCGCTTAGAAGTACTCTTCGGAGAGGGGACCACTACAGCGAACGCAGTTGCTGCTGAGACGGAAGCTGAACTGGAAGAGGCTGGAGTTTGCATTTTAGAGATGAAGGATCTGCCGGGTATCTTCAACAATCGGTAGTTTTGCATATTAGGCTTTGGGTATGTGGCCGTGCATTTCTAATAACCGGAAGCCTCTAATGGGTTCGGGGAAACGAATCCATTAATATATAGCGGTCGGGAAAATCATACAAGCACGGTGTTTAATCGTGCATCCGGCGAGTAGGTCACCTATCCTGGTCCCAATACAATAATACACAGTCTAAGAGGCTTCCTGTTCCCAGTGGCAAGTGCCATAGAACTGTTGCTTTCGCTGTGAGTCTTCGTTGAGCTGCCAGACTTTTCTTTATGGTCATCTGAAATGTTCCCATACACGAAGAGCGATCGCCTGGCTTCTTGAGTCAAAGACGCTTACGTGCTGGATACGTTCCCTGCGATCGAGCGTCGCGCGAGATCACTCGCTATCCCGGAACGTAGAAGGCAGATTCTCGAAGGTGTATCTGACATTCCATTGAAATTACATATCAACAAGATTGCTAGACAACCCTAATATTGATGGCCTTATTTTCATATTGCACTATATAACGGACAATAGTGAAAACTGTTTCCGGGTGAGATGCGAGCGACTGGCGGTATTAGGATGGAGTCAACCGCTAGGCAATCATCGCTTAGTTTCACCACCGTCGCTCTCGAATGACAGGAACCTTGGGCTGTAATTACATTCCTTAGACGGCAGTCTTATTTTCCAAAAATAGTTTCGGGTATGATGTGTAAGTACTAATGCCCATTGTAAGCTTCAACTGCCTGGCGAAGACCTGATTTCGCGGCAGGCACTCAGCACGGTGGTCGGTCCGTGAGTCTCGACATCGCTATCTTTGCGGCAGGCACACGTCTACGTATAGTTCCACATATTTCTCTTTCGTCGCCCTTATATCTGACTCTTCGAGGTCTTCAGGATTCCGTTCGTTCCAACTGAACTGCAACGACTCGGAGGCAGTGATCCAAAAATAATGATGAGTGCTCCGTCACCTTAGTAAACGCATACCGGCAATGCCGTTCTGTTCATAATCATCTAGGATCCCTGTATCAGATTTTCATATGTATCTTTTTGGCTTACCTCCTCCACAAGGCATAAATTTGGTGTGTATGACCCGCTCTTTCTTAGACTGATGACATAAATTGGCGGGTCGGCAGCTGAGCTTCATTTCAGTGTCATCTATGGGATACATGTTACACATGCCGGCGAATTACAGCGTGCCGTTCTTTTACTTCCGGCAATTCTGGCGCGCATGCTGAAACGGTGATGCTCTGTAGAACCGTGACAGGCGCCTGTAAGGGTAGAATACACCGCCATGGTACAAGATACTAGTAAGTATGAGGCGGGCATTTCGTCACTACCTTACCCCCTTAATTAAATGCACGAAAATGCGATTCAGCATTTTCTAACACCTCCGCGTCCTTTCAGGTGTTTGGTATTCGTTTGAATGTTTACGCACTAATGCTAATGATGGCGCTCACAGGGGACCACCACCCGGGTTCGCAGTCTATTCGTCTAGGCTTCTCTCTGACTAAATTCTCAACAGTCAGTCAAACTCTAGCAAGGGTACGTGTGCTCTGTACTGTCTGAAGAGCGAGATATATCATTTGGTGCATCACAGATACATCCCTCACAGAACCCTAGTGGAGACAAATGGAGAGGTTTCGTCTGGAAATGGGAGGAAGGGCAACGGAGGATCAACTTCTACCAGGTCCGGCTCTGGTGCAAACGGAGGCCAAAAGTTCCATGGAGGCAGTCAACAAATGGGGTCCCTAAGCCTTCTACTATCTTATATCTGTTGACCGAAAGTAATCCATGCTCCCTTGTCGTTTGCTATCTCATGCGCCATTCTTTACTTATGCGATAGTCTTCTGTTCACGGCGAGCACGGCCTTCATGCCCTTCTGTCGATTTGTGCTACTAGAGCTACTTACATTTCATATAATTCTATATTCAGGTCGATGTATTACTTGCAAGTTGGGTGTTCTTGATGTGGTGCAGCGGGGAATTCCAAGTGACTTGTCACCTTGGAGACTTCTTTGGTAGCACTTTTATCTAGAGGAAAGAGGAATGGATTCTATAGAAATACGTATACGGCCTACCTTTTATCATATATCAGGTGGCACAACGGACTGGGATCTTGGGCCCCAATTGGGCCCTGAACAATGTTACATGACAATGCATGAACCTCCAGGGGGTGTAATATGTATGTCTGATGCACTGCGCTTCCAAAAACTTCCAAGTACCTTCATCTTCGTATTGTTTTACACTTTTTCCAGCATGATTCATCAAAAATCACTACAGATATATGTTTTATAGTAAATAAATATGAGTACAATAGGATTGAATAAATTGGTGATATCGCTACTTATATATCGTCACACAACAGGGAACTTGTTATCCCGACTAAAACCTATTAAAACCCTTTCAGCGGGGTAGGTAAATTATCAGTCCAAAACCTAAGGTTTCATGCGCAACCCTAAATCACCATTTGCCATGTTAACTTCGTAAGGAGTCTCAACTAAACAGTGATAAGTTGTAAAAATCAAAAAACTATATAAGCTATTATTTAAGAATTATGGCTCTCTGGCTGGGAGTCGAACCCAGCTTTCGCGCGATCTACCAACACCGATTATGACAGGCGCGTGTACTAACCGATACACTACCGGAAATGACAGCAGCCGGATGTACAATCTCTGATACGATTGATTCAGGGACGAAGTTTACAAGTAAGAAACTCAACAACCGCGACGTCTTCCAGGAAAAGTCATACTCGATACTCATGCTTGGGGGTCGCTACTGATAGCAACTACTATCATCATGGATCCTTCGAAAGCGTTCGGCGCTTCAGCTTTGGATATACAAACACCCCTACTAGTAGAGCTGGTGGTGTGCTGGTTTGAATTTACTGTCAGGTCGGCCCTTGGTCATTATGTTCCGCGAATATTTTCCATATGTTACAGGAGGTCACGGCAATACCGAAGTTACACGGATTTGTACAGCATAATCTACACCACTGGCTGACGGACGTGGTAGAAAAACGAAGGTATCAATGATGGGAAAGAGTGAACAGTAAGGATTGAACTCGGAACGCTTATCCAGCTACAGTGAGTATAAGGTTCCTATATTCTAGTGCCGAAACTCAGAGTGCATGTCCAACAGAAATTTTGCGCGGAAGAGGGATAGCGGAAGGTGCGTTACTTTAGACGACTGCAACAAAATCAGCGCTCATTCATACCGCCAGACCACGACGGACTCGTACCGTTCTGTACCAGAGGCAATTTTCCTTCTTCACACATTTCCTGCACGCGGCGCGCCTCGTTCTCATCCAACCGCGTTTCCGACAACGGATCACCAGACCACCCCAGTAACCGTGTCCTCCTTTGGCGCATTTTCATCACCACCAGCACAGCGATGAACAGCAAGGTTATTGCTGCGATAATGACGATCAGTGCTGGGGTAGTGGGCGGAGGAGGCATCGTTTGGGTGATGATTTGGCAGGCCGAGAACCCTCTTATCCTGGCAGGACATGTGTATCCTGTCACTATTCCTGGGTGATGTGGGACAATCCCAGGATCTTCAACGAGGGAATGTCGCCGAGTAATGAACGTGGGACCGTCGAGTATTCACTTCGTGGTCATGCGCGAATACCTAGGCGGTTCTCTATCAGCAGCTCTTCTCTTTCTCATCGTTTACCGTGTGTCCTCCTTTCTTTCATTGGCTCTCCTTTCCTGTCATATCTCCCTGACCTTCGGAATATGATGAACGAGCAATGCCATGAGAGAGGAAGCCTGCAACAGGGCCATTGTTTCGGTCCTCTGACCTCCCGGCTAGTTTTTGAGAGAGCGAGGTAAGTTTCCTTACTATTCCATCTTTTACCAGGGACCTAACGAGCTTCGGCAGATGCTCCGGTCCTACATACACACGTTAAGGGGCACCCATCGGAAAGGAACGAACCGTACGCCCGAGACTACGGATGGATGTGTTTTTGATTATCGAAAGCCTTCAGTGAGCTCTATCACCGTGCCGTCCTGAAATGTTCTAACGCCGCCCTCAATTAAGGGAGGATCATGGACTCACGGAACCGGGCCACCCAACCATAAGCTTAGTCCACAGGAACTTTTCGCGCCTCTCTATCCCAATCACCGACGTCCCTTCACCATATGTTGTAGCTCGTTCTCATCGGACTATCCCAGCTTTTTTTTTGCGACATGCGGCTCCTAGCATGCAGCTGGGTTGCTGTTAATACCGGGCACAGCTCAAGAAGGCGCCCTTTTCAGCGGACACCGCTCGAGACGGAGATCCCTCCGGGAACAGTCGTCACTAGCTCACAGCCGTTCGCGTTATCTCGCAAGCTATCATCCGATGGATACCGATCGGACGGCAGGCACTCCAGGAACTGATAATGTTGTTCGTCGCCTCTTCCTTCGACGACCGCACGTTTTTGTGATACAGGCAGGCGCCTCTTGGAATAATGTTCGTATATCGTGTATTCAGTCGGTGTCTTTCCCGGGGCCGCGATTTGCCATGCAAGGGCCCTTTCTCAGGTCTCTCCCATTCTTGGAGCAAAGCGTCTGTATAGAGACCAGGGCATTACCACCCGCCTTCGTGTGATTCGCACGTAGTCCTCGACATCTCTTTCGACAATTCATTCATGTCGGGAAGCAGAGACCTTTATTTCTGGAGAGAGACGTAAGGTGCGCGTCTCAGCAAGGTTGTTGAGTCTTACTGTAACACTACTTTTCGCGTAGCAACCTTATGGATGGGGACATCGACAGCCTGGATCATCAAGCCTAGGCTCGTTGTACATTGTCGTGTTTTCCCAGCCCTTTCTCTCACCCTGGTGTGGTTCCATCATCCTCAATCCACACGTGCCTAACACAATCCTTCGTATTTGCGTTCTGCTCCCTATGACAACTTCGTTGAGAATAATCCCGCGCATATAGTCCTGTTCCGCGAAGTAGACGGTCGAAGAAGCATCTTGGCTTCGACATCTGAGGCCTACCCTCCCTCGACCACGTTCAGCGGACCGGGGATCCCTCCGTATGCCGAGTTCGAAGAGAGACGCCTCGAACCCCAGTAGAAGGGCACGACTGAGGAGGGTTTTTTGTCATCTCCTCGCTTGCCGCCCCACCTCCCGAACCTGCAACCATGTTCCAATATAGCCGGTCCCATATTATGATATGTCCTCGTCACGCGGAACATCGACATACTAAACAAATCTTATCGACTTACGCAACGAGGCACTTAAGTCGGCCAGGGCTCAACGACGAATATGTTCGTGGCATCCGTTTGAGGGCGTGTATGGTTGGAGAAAGACCTCAGTGAAGACTACCAGCGAGTGGTCGGTTCTCAGTAAAACACGCACACCTCCGTGCATATGAAAGAAGAGTCTAGCCAAGATTCCAGCGCTACCTATCTGTGTGGAACATTCTTCACCTACGAGGAGTAGTATGTCTACCCTTCGGCGGTGACTCTGATTGATTAGGGGGCATCATATCCTACGCGTTGCTCGTCCGTCGTCGGGAGATATTACCCACTAGAGAAGTCTCTTTAACCATCAAGGCGTTACTACCCCCTGCCGTTTATACATGAACTGCAATTTCCAGCATGATTTCAGCTTTCTTCACGGTTCTCCTTCCTGCCAGCAATATCAGGTGCACACCTCAAATGCAGAAGGAATTGCGCATCTAGTCTAGTTCCGTCGTCATCGCTATCTAGCTCTTGGAAATTCTCCATACGGAGTTCCGGCAATGCACAGACCACAAACGTTTGCACGGTCGCCGGTCTGTGAGGGTATGCACTTCTTTTTACGCTTCGCCTCCCGGTGTGTTAGTGCTGCGGCAACAGGAAAGCGGGATAATAGGTTACACTCGCGGGTGTGTACCTCAGAGCTGTACCGTGCTGTACCTATCCATATGCCGTCCTCAACGTTACCTGTTAGCACTCGGTATAAGAGTCGATCATAACGACTTCTTATTGAGACTACGTACCAGTCCACGAACTCTATGCACTCAGGTTCGACTTCACTTCGCCGCTTGAACAGCACCTAATCTAACGGGTCCCGCCGCACGCCTAGAGATATTCTCTGTATTGTTCGATCTATATGCTCATGTCTCGCGATCCGCCGTTCGTGTTCATGGATATATAACGTCTTTCTCAATTGTACGACCCTAAGAACTTGCTCGACACTCCGCTTGACTGTTTAGACCATTTACTTCGTGGATATAAAGGCTGCGCCGCTATAGGTACCAATCAGAGCATCCCGACTGTCGCTTGACGAGCTCACTTCATGGGCTGATGTTGTCCCTCGAGTGCTCCCATCAACTAATACTGGTAAGATTGCATCAGCTTGCTTTTTGTTCGTTGGTGGATTAGATCCTGTGTTCGTGGAAACAAAGAAAAAGTATCGCTGCCATTTGAAAACTGCTTCCACCGCGTACACTCCAATGTACTGTCGTGAAATAGACAAGGATCACAATTATCATCAAGTATATCACTGCCCACAGGCGTCGCGTTTTCTAAACGACACCTACCTTGCAGTACCCAATAGAGTCGAGATCTGAAATTGCTATGGAATGAACAATGTGTGAACCCCGAAGTTTTGAAGAAGGGAAATTAAATACTGAGAAAAGGAAGTTGCCTTCAAACGTAAGTCCCTCGCTGGGAGTCGAACCCAGCTATCGTAACACGTGCATGTCCTAACCGATAAACCACGAGAGACTTAACACTGCGCGCTCTCTCAGTCATTCTGTCACAATTTTTTTCTCTATATGGCCCCGGCGATTGACTCAGGACAATCTGATACTAGGCTGTATGGATATGGACTTGTAGTGCTTGGAGGGACAAAGGTGCGTAACCTCCAAAAAAAACTGTAGCGAAAAGGCAGCGCTTATCCATACCACCAGCCTCGCGTTCTATTCAGGATTCAGGCAGTATTTCTTCGCTTTTCAAGATCTGCTCGCGTCGTGGCACCGTAGCTGCCATCTAACGCAAGAATGGGCCTGTTTCTCCGGATCCTTGAAGCATCGCGGCTCCCGTTTTCGATGGCCAATGTCTCTAGTACCCTTCATAAGCTTCAGCTTCAGCTTCATGTTGATCACGCATAGTGCATAATCATACACGATGTTTGCCGTCGCTTGAACTAGGAGACGAAACCTTTCTCAGCAAGGTATTGCGCCGCAGTACTTGGCTGTTCATTAACATTTCTGAACCGCAATTTTCGGGACTTGGTGTTGGACTTTTTCATGGCTGTCCTTACTATACTGGGCATCCTCGGTTCCATGCGTTCAAGGGGCCAGTCATGGATATATGCGTGCGATTAGGACTAGCTGGTGTACTCGCCCACACATGTCGCCTTCAATTCGGAACCGGCCACTAGCTGACAAGGATTTTCCCTACCTCATTCTCGTTGACCAGCTTCTGTTATGATTGATCCACGTTGATTCCGTCGGTCGTAGCAGGATAGCAATGTCTGCACCCTTCGTCTTGGACGACATAACGAGGTGTACGAATCACCTCCGCATATCTAACAGGCATTTCTGTACGCTCTTCTGTCAACTTTCAATCACAACTATTTATATTTCATCTGATATAGTGTCCAAAGGCCTGGCTACTTGTAGAAACCAAAATAAAAAAACGAAACCTATACGCAAGACGGGCAACCGAAAGT